AACATCCCAAGACATTCGGGAATTCCTAGCTTGTGGCAGGACCAGGTGACGCCATCTTTCGGAGCTTCTACAGAGGCTTAACATCCTAGCAGATTTTCGAAGTTCAAGGAGCGCCAGTGGACGACTTGGAAGAAATTCAAGAGCATCGGACCTGTCAAAGTCAAAACGTGCCCAGATGCAGCAAAAATGACCTCTCCTCTCGCCAACAGAAACACTGTGCGACTTGCAAGGAGTGGCTAACATCACGCTGCACCCAACATTCAAAGCGGATTCTCGACGCCAGACGGTCAAATTCGTCCGCATACAATGTGTGACGTTGTCTGAGAAATGCTGAGCTCTTCCGACTTCGCCCAGTAAGAAACCGCCGATTCCCCCTCAAGAGTGGCAATGCGCATCTCAATGGGGCTCATGCCCACAAGAAATAGGCTATTAAGCAGTGAGCCATCTGGAGCAACGAGTCAAAGTTTTTGCTGTTTAGGATGAATGAAATCAAGTTTGTGCGAATTCCTGTTGGTACCAGATATCATCCGAGGTTCCATGTGCTGAAGTAAAGAATGCAGGAGGTGCGGTGATACTGCACGGCGGCTTCTGTGGCAAAGGGGTTGATCACCTTCATCGGACCGAGGGTAAAATGGATGCCAAAGCACTTCAACATGTGGATGACTGCTATCTGGCCGCATGTTCGCAGTGTCGCCCGTAGTATTTCATTTTCCGAACCGAAGCGCAAAATTAAAGCCGCTCTCGAAGTGGTTACGCAGCAACGATGTTCCTCTACTGCCCCACTACTGTTCCTCTACTACCATGCCATCGCAGTCCCCATACTTGAATCCGAGCAAAAAATCTACAGGACGATTTTCGGAGTCAAGTTGAAGGCCTTAAAGCTCACAACGAGCTCGAAAAGTTTGTCCCACTGAAGATCGCATAGGGAAACCTCCACCAAGAAAAAATCCGAGTCCATGCTACGCCGGTGTCAAGCCGTCATAGATGAAAATGGTTCTACAACGAAGTGCTGATGTTGTAATTGTTCAGTCTGTTATGATGCAAATTATTTTGTTATTACTTTTGAAATTTAGACAGATCGAAGTTCAAACAAATAATATGGTATAAGGCCAAAGAAATTAAAAATTTCTAAATTGGTATACAAGTCACTAGACAGCTGAAAATTCGCTCCCTTATCACATATGGTGATATGTACTCTTTTTCAAAAAATCGCAACAAAAGCTTGACTTTTGAGGGAGTTACGTTTGAAAAAGTGAAAGGGAATACTTCACTGCACGGTACTGTATGTGCCATGCCATAGTGGAACATTCAGAAGAGGTCGTGGCTTAGCGTCATACATGGCACATCGTTGATTTGAGCAGGATCCGTACGCTAACATAGCCTAAATTTTGGTGAAAGAACTATGGTAAGGGAAAATCTGCAAGGTCAAAAATAAGATCAAACGCAACTTCATAAAAGGGAGACTTATTCTGCGACGGTGTGCATGTAGCGCAACAATTGCTGCCGCCCGCAGAATTTCCAATCTTTGCAGGAGAAGGGTATCCCTGTAAGGCCGCATTCGCTTTCACACCCATCCTGGAACTACTATTCTTACCCTACTATTACTCAAGCGATATACACTGTCGCACCACGTACCCTCATCCTTTACTGGTGTAGACCCGAAAAATCTCCGTACGCACAACCTAAAAACGCACAACCTTCAGTCACAGTGGTAAATAACCAAAATAGAGGAGACGGAATGAGTAAAGTAATGGAAGCCAAAATTGCGCACCACAGGTGTCAGAAAACTTCAATTAGATGCAAAAACTCTTAACAACATGATAGGTGCGAGAAGACCTCATTAAGAATGGCGTCTTAAAGCAACAATCCAGGAACGAATTCGTGGTAAGGACCACCTATAATGACGTTGCAGGTGAGAAGTTGGTCAAATGAGAGAAAGAAAAAGTAGAAAAAAAACGTCGGGCAGGGCTTAGACAGGGACTCCCCCTGCCGTTTAGGGAGACGTGCGTTGGACGAGTTGTCCGAACCTGCCCTAGTACATGCGCTCCAATTGCTCTGCTGGCAAATAGCCATGCATGCTTGCAAATACAAACTATTTGCCAGCATCGAAATTGAAGCGCTTAAGTTGCGCTCTCATGGAATCGACCTGATACAGCGCGGCGGTCCCGCAACGACCGCCATTCGAGCAAGCGCTCTTCACAGCAGCAAGGAGGCGGTCAACGAGGCTCGTTGACCCGCCCTTTTCGACGACTTCGAGCCCTTCTCACGCATTTCAGAGGTGAGTTTTACTTCAGTGACAGTTCCTTTGACTTCACTTGGGCGGGGCATGCTTCCACACCTCAGCTTTGGATTATTTGAAACCCTCCCTGGACTGTTGCTTTAAGGGTAGCCAATAGAATCGATAAAATCTGCTTGGTTGGAGTGATTTCACAGTGTTAGGACAATGTATGAAAATTCTAGGGAAAATCCTGATAAAGAATAAAACATCCAATATTGGCGCAGACGCTATTTTTTGTTTTTTTTGTTTTTTCTCGAAATATGGGAGCTCAAACCCAAAATGCAAATTTTGCCACCACTAGGAATTGAACACTGGACTGGTTTTTCACCACGTTTTGGCCTACCGCTTAGCGAAAAGGGATGTCGCTTTTGTTTACGCTCGAACTCCTGTAAAATGTAGACAACCGTTTCAGAAAAAATAAACGCTCCACATTCTAAAGGAACTTCCTCATAGGTCACGAATCATATGAATGAGAACGGGATATTTAACAGGATTTTGAGCAGGGTTCTACCGAATCACTGCAAAGCCATGATTTCAAATTCTGGACGGAGAAGGTGCGGCCCGACTAATCGACGTTTACGCCTCGCGGTTGCTCCAGAATTTGAGGATTTCGGTTGCAGCCCTTTGGATGGTGCAGTTATACTAAAGGCGTCCCGTGAAACACCGCTATTAGGCCGATGTTACACTATGCTAATAGAACCATTGGCTCGATTCGCAGTCTGACATAGGCCTCACATGGAACAAATCGGCAACTCATACAAGACCGGAGCCCACTGAGCCGAATGATTCGTACATGAAAAGCTAGTAGGCATCGAAATCAGTTCCTCTGTCTTTCCACCCTCTCTAGTGATTTTGCAATAATATCACCACTTCTAGAGAAGAGGCATGAGGGGCATGCTTGAAGAGCCAACGGTAAGTGGACAACAAATTGTAACTGACGAAGAATTGCGAGCTACGCTGAGAGCTGCCAGAGCCGATAAAAAGCCCGTGTTTGTTAGCCCGCCACAGGCAAAATTTACATCTCATGTCTTCACATTTGAAGAAGCTGGAATCAAAGTTTTCTCTGCCCAGCTGACAGATTAACGAACTCGCCATTATGATTGCCAACGGAAGAAGGAGGTCATTCCCATTCACCACACTGCACAAAGCTACGAGACAGGTAATATTCATGCAAAAATTCTTGGCACTATTCAACTATTACAACCCCAAAACCTCAAAATTTTATTTCTCGTCGAAACTTCGCCTATAGGGGTGATTCGGTGCCCTCATTACGGAAATGACATTTATTTTCTGCAGTGGTGCCATTTAGCGCCAGTTGGCGTCATCTTGTTACGACACATGTCTTTACCAAATTCGATGTAGAATTCTATGTAAGGGTTTTTTTTTGATGTCCTGAACGTCTTTACGAATATGACATTCGTTTTCGACATTAGCGTTTTTACCGCATACTTCCCGCTTTTCTTGGCTCTCTCACCCATACATAGCGTCTTGGGACTAAGCTTAGGGGAGAAGGAGACCCGGAATGGGCAAATCAGGTGGCGTGTGACAAAGATGAAGCGTGTGAGATACATGATGGGTGGCTTACTCACTCGTAGCCCTCCTCTCCCTTAAAGCTTAGTCCTGATCGCGATCTAATCACTAGGATTACGCAGACGAACGGAATAAGGCGCTAAATGGAGCTAGCACCAAGAATAAATGTGATGTTCGTAATCAGGTCACCAAGCCCCTACTCAGAAGTTTACATCGAATTTGGTGAAAACAACTGTCGCGACAAAGTGACGCCACCTGGCGCCAGATGGCGTCACCGTTGAAAATAAGTGTCTGTTTCGTAATCAGGTCACCGAATTACCCCTATGTGCAAAGCTTCGACGAAAAATAAAATTATGAGATTTTGGGGTTGTAACAGTTGAATAGTGCCGAATTCTTTCAAGTCTGAGGTATTCTTCAAGGCAAAAATTCCAGCAGAAGTCGTGCTGAAGCATCTATTCATTGGGTGGTACAGAGTAGCCTGCGGCGTGTAGCACAAATGTTCCGTTGCCGCGGCTCGAAAGTACGAGACAACGATGCTAGAGTCTCACAAAGCTGGTGGCCACTAATCTTGGCTCTTGGATGAGTTGCTCGGCGCACACCCCATGCCACGGAATGTGACATGACGCGATGGCTAATTCTATAACGCGCGTGTGGCCTGCATGGTCGTCGGGCATAGTGAGTGTGTTAACCATCATTGGCGTCACTCAGTGGCTGCTCTCTACTTCTTCTCATGTTCGACATTTATTTTTATTGATGTTTCGGGACGCTGTCATATTTTCAGTGTTATGCGCTCCAATTGCAATTCCTGGCAAACAGCCAACTGTTGCAATTGGAGCGCATTTACTGCGGGCAATTTCAAACGACTCGTTCAACACGCATCGTCCTTCATTGCCAAGGGGTTTGAAGCCCTCCGTGACGTTTTTTTTTGTTTTTGCTTCATTGTCGTTCATCTGTTCACCTACAACTTTATTATCCACCGCTCTGAGCACGCGATTCATTCCTGGAACTGGTGATTTTACATCGGCTCAGCCTTTGTGCCAGAGCTTTCGAGCCTAGTACTGGCACTTCGTTGGGGGAATACTCCGGCAATGAATGAAAAACAATCAACGCCTTCTAAAACTCGGAAAAACCTTCTTTCTATGCCAGTGGCTCGAAAGAGTTGCATACACTGACTCTAGTAAACACTAACCATACGGGTCAGTATAGAACCATAAGACAACTGATGACAGTATTGAGCAATAAGACAAGTTAGTGCCAAATAGAGCCTAAAAGCTTAAGAAAAAAGTGAATAACTCACTAAACACGTTCTGTCAACACGTAGCTTTTCCAGTCCTTTGTTTCGCTTGCTGAATATGGTTAGTTAGCCGTTCGCAGGCCAGCTTTGACTCCGCTTTCAGCCGCACATCCGTCGATTCCTGACCTATCAGCGTTAGTATTCTGAGAACTGGCTCTACATCAGAGGAGGAAGCTTCTATACCAATCCAAATGCTGGCAACGCTGAATATATAATCATTCAAGGAACCACAACTCTCCGCGTACCAAAAACCATAAGTACCTTCTTGTTACCAGCAACAGGAGTTTGTAAGCCAGCGTTCCCGCAGGGTATGTATGAAGACGGTCGCAGATAATCCACTTTTCCAATATAGGCCACAGCTGATATCGTATGCGACGGTAAACAAACGTTCTCGATACGTCGACTATCTGCGTTACAGTCTGAAATGAAGTGAAGCAGAAACATTTTCTGTGGGTTCCAGCAAAGGCAACACTATGTGAAAAGCTGTTGACCTGATTTTCTTATCGAAGCCAAAAAAAATTCCGAAAAAAGTTTGTGAACATCAATAATAAAATCCATATGGAATAAAATTCGAAAAAAAAAGAAAGGGGCCCAGGGGCTGGAATAAAGTGGATAAAGGTTGGCGAAAGAAGGAACTCAAATGCCATTAGTGGGCGCCACCGAGATGGGCGAAGTTTGCCACGACCATAAAAATATCAGCGGCTCTGTTGCTCACCATTGCAGTCCCCATTGATGCACGTGAATGGGTGCGCAGGTAAACTGGTAAAGTACATAGGATGTGCTCTACAAATGTCAGTTAGGACCATTCGCTTTGAGACAATAATGACAGCGTGACGCGATTACTCGTTATCCACCCTTTTTCTAGCGCGTGCATGATTCTTCCCAAATCATTTACATTCTACAGGGTGGGGCAAAATTACTGGTGCACTAAATTTTCAATGGCATTTTGACAATATTTCTCACAAATCGATTCTAATAATCAATATTAATATATACAAACATGACAATACAAAAAATGTTAATGCTTCTCAAAATGATTTCCTTTAGCCTTCACACAGTCCTTCAGACGTTCGACAAATGCGTCACATGTGGCACGCAGGTATTGGTCATCGATTTTCGTCCCAAGATTTTGAAAGCGCCGCCTTAAGAGAGTCCAAGTTTGGATGTCTGGTAGAACACGCTTTGTTCTCCAAGATGGACCACACAGAGTATTCCATCGGTTTAGATCAGGAAAACTGGAGGGCCATGCGTCGTATCTGATTAAGTCGGGCAGGTGCTCGCGCACCACTGCTGGACCATCTTTGCTTTGTGTGCTGGAGCAGAATCCTGCTGGAAGCACCAGTAGCTTCTCCGAAATGGGAGTTGTCACACGGCTTGAGAACTTCCTCCAGGAAATTTTTGTAAACCTCTGCGTTGATTTTTACACCAGCTTCAACGAAAACAAGTGGGGTCTTCCCCGTAGAGGTGACTCTTCTCCAAACAAGAATGGACTGGGGGTGTTTCGCTCTTTCCTGGAGTCTTGCCTTGATGGTAGCATCAGCATGTGATCCTGCTATAATCCTCTCATTTTGGGAGTTGAAGGCTGGATTCAGAGTAAAAATCTTTTCATCACTGAAAACGATGCCTCGAGCGCGTGCCAGCGTGACAACTTCTTGCATCTCTCCAATCTCCTTTTCTTCATAATGTCCGTCAGGGGTTGGCATTTCTGCACGATAGGGGAACTTCCTTAGCTTACTTCTGACAATCCTCCTCATTGACCTCGCGCTTACTCTACGTCTTTCGCCATCTGGCGCATCGATCTCCTTGCGTTCCTTTGAATTCTTTCTCTGACGAGCCTCACATTTCTCCGACTCGTAGCTGTTGTGGGACGTCCTCTTCCTTCCCTGTCCCCTTCGGTCTTCAGTTCTTTATAGCGTAGTACTGTATTCTGAACCGTCCTTCGAGGTACGGAAAGGATCTTCACAATTTATCTTGTTTGCTTGCCGTCCTTGTGAAGTTTGATGATCGCGCTCCGTAGGTCAGAACGACGGACCACTTTGTATTCGAGTACGTAGTTCGCAACTTTCAGGCAACATATCACAAGCGTGTGAAACAGGAAAATCTCCAAGAAGTGTTAAAAAAGTCAAAACGTACAGGTGCACCAGTAATTTCGCCCCACCCTGTATGGATAAGCCCATTACAGAAACCAGATTAGCCCCCGGCAACCGCCGAAACTGCCTTTCCCTGCGTAAGCTTTGCGTTCCTTCCTCTTCGTATCCTCTCCTCGTTCATCCATTGCTCTCCACTGCGGCACCTTGTGAAATGATCGGAAATGTGTTGAGTAGGTGTTTCTTTTCAAAGCCGTTGAGGTGTTATCACAATCGTGTCATTGCAAAACTTGGTAGGGCAAGTCCTGCGAGCTACCCAAATTTATTGGGGGCCTGTTTATTCCACTAGCTGACGTATCACTCACTTTATTTTGTGGAAGACAGGAAACAGGCCTACACACATACAATCAAACCAACATACTGTGGTTGTGATTTATATCATGAAGTGATTAGTAGAGGTTTTAATAGCTACAAAATTGAAACCCCCAAATCTTAGCACTTGCCTCGAAGCGGCGAGGGGGCGAAACGGGAGAAACCCCAGCTAATAGTGGAGGTAACACCGCCCCGATGGGCTAGCTACCCAAAGGTCAGTATATAAGCTACAACACGCACAAAGAGGGTACGGAGCGGTGCAGATGGAAACACGAGCTTTAGGTGCGCCACAGCAAACGGCGACCTAAAGGGATCTGCTGACGAAAACTGCCGCAGGTGGAGCGCACAGAAAGGAAAACCGTCGAGGCAAGGGGACTGTCTACACATTTACACCTACAACTGCCGTACCATCGCCTCAGCGGCCGACCAAACCATCTTGATGTAGGCCAGCAAGAAGCTTTGCTCTGACGTCGCTCTCCAGGGAGACAAAAACCAAGGGAACAGCCACCAGGAAGACTAACGGCGGCCACCTACTTGTTCTAGAAGCCAAAGTGAATGGAAGAAACGTTGGCGGCGTCGGAATCCTCGCCCACCAGCGGATTGAGCAGCTGGTCGACTCAATCGAGGTATTCAGCCCGCACTGGCCATTCTTCACCTACGCAGCGAAAAGCGCACTTCTATCAGCAGTATTAACTGTTACACGCCAACGTCAACAGCAACGGATGGAGAAAACGACACGTTTTATAAGGAGCTGGAGAAGGCTACGAAAAAGGAGCGTTCGTACTACAATTACGTTGTTGGAGACTTCAACGCAGTCTCAACGCAGCACTCCCAGCAGTATCGACCATATTCCCACCAGCGAAGAGTGGAGTTTGCTAGACGTCAGTGTGTTAGATGCTTCTGCACCGGAAGCGACCATGGGCTCGTTCAGGTCAAAGTTCGTCTCCAAGCGAAACTCCGAAGACGAGACCACTATCGACCTCCACCCATACGACTGCCGCAGGCCGACATAAACGCCACGGAGGCGGCCGCTGCTCACTTCACGTGGCAGGAGGCACAGGACTACGACTTGCTTGTTTGTGGAGGGACTTCTACACTGCGCAACGGCATCGGTTGTGACAGCAAGAATGAACTCAAAGAGTAGGATCGATGACAATGCTCGTACACTCCTCTAACAACGGGCTGCCGTCCACCGTAGCTCTGCATCCACACCACTGGAACGTGATCCGATTAACGAAGCGTGCCGCTACGCTGCGAAAGAGTCGATACAGCGATACAAAGACACTCGACTGAAGGAAGCGGCAGAAGCGAGAGGCCTCAAGCGATGTTGTCGGGAAATTGGTGACTCTCGCTCGGTCATAACTGTCATGAGAGACGCAATGGGGAGACCGCAGACATTGAGAGCGAAGATTGAGGAGATTGCCATCAGCTTCTATACGGGGCCTCTTCCAATCGACGACACTGGTTCCCGTATCCCTACACCAACACAAGAGGTGGCTCCGAGGATACAAGAGTGGGAGGTAGAGAACGCCCTACGTCAGATGAAGCCGAGAAAGGCTCCTACACTGTCATCATGCAGCTCACCAAGCGATATAATAAGCACCTGGACGCGCAGAGGAGCCCAGACCAGTGGAAGACGGCAAACACTGTTCTTCTGTTTAAGAAATTCGAGCGCGACCAAATGAAGAACTATCTTCCCACTGCGCTCCTCTCACAGTTGTACAAGCTGTTCACGAAGATTATTCTAAACAGACTGGAAAGACAACTGGGCGACTACCATCCAGTGGAGTAGGCCGGGTTCCGCAAGGGCTTCTGTTGTATGGACCATATCCACAGCGTCACACAGCTGACCGAGCAGATCAAAGAATACAAGCAGCCACTCCTTCTCTGCTTATCAACTATGGGAAGGCATTCGACAGTTTGGAGCTCAACTCTGTCTGGAACGCATTACACCATGCAGGCATCGACCTATGCTACATCAACCTGCTGGAACAATGCAACCCGGACACATTTACCATCATCCGCTTGTTCCAATGAGAGCTACGCGTGCCGATTGAAAAAGGAGACAGGAAAGGTGACAGGATCTCCCCCAAGCTATTCACCACCGCCCTCGACCACGCGATGCTACAATTGGACTGGGATGATAGAGGCATCAACATCGACAGCAAGAGATTGTCGATTGATGTCTAAGTTACGCTCAGACGACATCGTGCTCATCAGTCAAAACCAATAGGATCGCAGCAGATGGTGGAGGAGTTGGACGATGTCGGCAGAGCTACTGGCCTCACGATGAGCCGGAACAAGACAATGGTCATGCGGAACGAATGGGCGGATGCGTCACCTATCGTGCTCGAAGGCGCCGCATCCCGGAAACCGACTGCTATGTTTACCTCGGTCGACTCATCTCCGTGGACAGCTTGCGCGCAGAGATCATGAGGCGCAAGAAATGCGCATGGACGGCAATGGGAAGCATCAAAGAGGTGGCTCAGCTCATCTCGGACAGGAAGGTACAAGCTGACCTATTCGACTTTAGGGTATTGCCCTCAGTCTGCTACGCATCCGAAACGTGGAGAACAAGACGTCTACGATGATGTTGACTCGCGGATAAAGAGCGCTGGAGCGCACATTGCTGAAACTCAACCGCCGGGAGCAGAGAACCGCAACTTGCGCAGCACAGACATGCGCTTAATGTCTGGTATCCGTGACGCCGCAGTGTACACGTGGAAGGCAAAGAAACGAACACTTGACCATACTGCAACGTGATGGAGAGACTCCCTGAAGAAACTTCAAGAAGCTGCGGGCCAACACTGGGCTAAAATCGCTCAAGATCGTCAACAATAGAGGGAATCGTGTGCTCGCGGCTGAAGATCATCGGCTGACAACGAGCATCCAAGTATCCAAGTAAGTAGTACGAAATTGAAATCTCGATTCATTCTTTGCTTTCTACTTATTCTCATATACATTTGAATAAAAAAGGAGTACAAG